ACCGGGAAATAAAACACAGACACACTACTTTTACTACATTTATTTTTCTAAGCAAATATCCGCGTCATACCTACATGAAAACAATTTTACATGGATTTTATAATAAAACCCTATAGTTGGTCAAACATATTCACAATTTCTATGTAACTTTTAATTTTTTAGTACCGTAAAACGGGGTCAATAGATAGGTCTTCGATCTTTTGTAACGATTTTCGTAATGTTGCAGAATTGTTTTCCATTTTGATACGCATCTATTTAATGAGTCTTAGGCCAAACTATTAAAATATATTCATTTCTATTCGGATATATTTATAGTTAAGAAAAAATCTCACAAAATATACGTAATTTCTATTTACCTCCAATCAGGGGACAATAGACACACCTCAGGGGTAATTAGAAAAATTTCGCAGGGCTGCCTACTTGCAGTTTCCCTGAATTAATTATTTTTTAAGATTAAGGCAAGCAAATGAAACTCAATATTCTAATGCAAACTAAAATTTTATTTAAAAAAGTTTTCAACTATATATTAATTCTGAATAATCAAAAACAAAACTAAAAAAATCACTGACTTGATTATTTATATCAAATTAGTTGTTTACTTTTACTTTAATAACAAACGGAAACAAACTTAACACACTTCAAACTCTATATATAAATCAAAATCAACCATTATTAAATATGAACATGGCAGCATCAAAAAAGCATCTAAACAAGCTTAAACTTTAAACTGGAAATTATAACTAAAATTGCACTATTACTTTGATTTTAAAATAATATTTTTATTTTATTTATTTACATCAGTCGTTTCCATATTTTTTATCAAATTAATGAAGATGTGCCTAACAAAATAATCATCATCAGTCGATTATGAATATATTTTCTTTTTAATAAGGTTTTCTTATTATAATGACTAAACATTGTCATTGATCAAATCTCTTAAAATATCAGCATCACTTTTGTAATAACTTCCGCGTCGTACAGTTACTTGTTTTATGTCTTTAGTGCTTTGACTTTCTGTTTTTATATAAATTTTGGTATTTATAGGTATTTTCTTACATTTACGTAGATTAACCCCACATCTATCATTCTCTACTTTTTCGATAGAAATAATTTCAATTTTTTTATCTTTGGATCCTTTGTCTTCCTTCTTTTCTAAATTAAGGGTATTATCATTTTCACACATTCCACTCTGTAGCGAATCTATGAATTCACATAATATTTTATCTGTGTCTATATCAGGTAAATAATCTATCCTGGATGCACTTTGATCAATGTAGTTGTTAATAAGTAGTTCTTCATCTTCTTGTTGATAATCATTTAATATAGCATTTTCATCCACATATACTATAGGTAGTAAATTTATGTCTATTTCTTTATTTTTTTCGTCGAAATACCTCGTACTCATTTTAGTTTGCGTCATGTCCTTGTTAATCAAATCATTATTCAGTTTGTACATAAGTTGTCGTACTTCTTGTTTCTTCGTAGATTTATTTATTATTGAATTTTCAGGATTATGGTTTTCAATTATTTTGTTCTCAGGGTCATTTATATTGGGGTCGGATTGAACTGCTTTTCCAGGAATAATTTTTAACTTCTTCTTTTTTTTGCTGGCTTGTTTACTAATTTTCTTATTCGTAATTTCGTATTCGGATGCACTTTCTAAATTATCATCATCTATGTTTCCTAAACTTTTTCAAGATTCTGCATTTAATTTCCGTTTACGTGTTGGTTCCTTAATATTTATTGTGCCATACCTCATTTCTTTAAGTATTTGTAACACCGATTTGTCAACTGCATATCTTGATTCATTAGGGTCTTCATTATTATCACTTGGCAGTCAAAAGGAATAATACCAGCTTTTCGATAACCTGCTTTAAGGTTCGTTTCTACATTCTCTGATAAGTCATTTATAAGTAGTTTTAACAGTCTTGGAAAGCATCCTTTAGGTACTGAGGCTTGAGTTCTACCATCTGTTTTTTTCCATTTTAGTAAAATGTTTCTCCAAGCAATTTTCATCGGCCTAAAGAAAGCGATGTCTAGGGGCTGCGTTAAATGGGTAGAGTTTGCCGGTAAGAATATAAATGAGATATTTTGTTGTTCTGTACCGGCCATCATAATGCTTATAGAAGATTTTGACTGATTAAGGACTCTTTCAGGGTACTTAGTTCCTCTTTTGACTATAACCTTCTTACGTCCAGGGTCATCACTGAGGTTCGTTTCATCATAGTTAATAATATTTATTGAATCAATATCTTTCAGGGATTCTTCTAACTCCCCAAAGTATTCCTTAATTGTATCAGGTGAAACTTGAGCCCTCAACTTTTTTATATTTTGAGACATTCTCAATGAAATGGAATCCTTATGTCTTTTTAAAAATCTTGTGGCATAATCTGGTCCAGGCATATTGTTTTTGAAGCGCCTGTGTGTGATACCTAGATTATCTAAATATAATTTAATTATAATCCTTAAATCATATGTGTCTAGTGGATACCCCCAGTTTCCGCAAATATTCAGATAATTTACAATGTGGTGCTCTGTGTCTTCATCTAATGCATTCTGACCACCTTGCGTTTTCATTGTTTTTCTATTATGACGGTATAGCACTGATTTATTAATATTATATTTTTGTGCAATAGAGGCTAAAGAACACCTTGGAGTTGTTTCATACTCTTCCAAAGCTTGCTTAATTGTGTTTTGGTCGTATTTACGATACTGCTTACCCCGTGGATCGGGTTTATAGTTTCGGGCCATTTTTGTACCTTAGAAATAAAACAATGATAAAATTAACAAAAAGAGTTATTAACTACTTATTTATTAACTAATTATTATTTATCTTATATGGCGGAACGTAACGCAAATGAGCTTGATGAGCAAAACGGATGGGATAGCGGGACCCCGCTCCCTCGACTATGTACGCCATGGTCACCTGTATTTGTTTTACAGCAATCAATGAATAATATTTTAAACTCTAACCTTCTAATATAACTACGTAAAAATATAATTCGGGGAAGTGTGGAGCAACTCTACTTGACATTTCCTCTCTAGCCTCACTATTATGGCAACTTGCTTTAAGATCTTTGACTATGATTGCCTCACAAGTATAATTAAGAACTACATATTCCTAAAATAATAAAGAAAATTATAAATACTACAAATAAAAGAGAGATTTTAACACAAGATAGCCACCTAACAAAGGTGCCTAAACTTGTGGTGGCAACCCTTAGATAAAGATGGCTAATCACCCCTCTTTCGTAATTAATTACCCCTTTGCTGTGTCTATTGACCATACTCGCATGTCCATTAGCCCCTCAGGCATGTCTATTCACCCCTTTCGCGTGTCCAATCACCCCGAAAAATTAAAGAAAATAAGGCTTCGAAAAAAAAACCAATTTAATATAATAATGCTTATTCTTACCTTAATTAATTTAGGAGAATATATTTGTAATTGTAGTGACCGTAAGTGAAAGCTAATTTTAAACTTAAAACACAAAAATAGACCAAAATACGGAGGTTCAAACTCGCGCTCACTTAGCCACTCGTTTTGTTGTCGACTTTCAGGTTCAATTTGAACCAGGGACGTTAATCTTAGAACAAACTGGCAGGTCGCTGGAGAATAAAAGGATATGAATTTTAAACGATATGTTATTCTCTATCATCATTGTTCAAATCAACCCTTTTTAATTTAGTAGTATAGTACTGATGATTTTAGAACTGGGAAATAGAGATGGAGCTAAAATCGCTATTAAATTACTAAAATCAAAAGTCCCGAAGTACTAAACTTCAAGTGTCATATTGTAACTCTTTAATTTATACTCATTATAGCCATCTAAATTGAGCCAGTTTATTTGATGATTTCCAAAATGGTAGTTTTAAAATAAAGGCTATTGGCAATGGATTTATTTTATTTTGTAGCATTATCATTTCGTATACAGTGCTATTGTAGTATTACTTATTTTAAGAGGTATAATACATATAACTTTCCTGTAATAATTACTTTAAAATAATTTAAAAGAAATTCTACCAAAAAACTTGGTAGTTATCTTACTGTTGAGCCTGCTTGATTGAAATTTCAAATTAAAAATATAACTGTCGTGGTCGCCGAATTCGCCGTACCTCGCCTCGTAGTCCTTTCCTTATTTTATTTTCCTTCTTTTTGCATTGTTCTAGTGCTCCTCGCCCTATTACTCAGTGTCTGTGGATTTATTTTCCTTCATCCCCACAGGTACGTGCTGTTGAGTTGAGATCCCTCCTCCGGTACGTGCTTTAGTGTAATCCTTTTGTTTTGTTCCCGAACGTTTTTTGTGTTGGAGAAATTGACTCGTTGTTTGTGAGAAATTGACTTGTTTGTGAGATAGGACTCTTTTTGCGAGATAGGACTCTTACTTGTGAGACACGACTTTGATTACAATATGGCTTCAGATAAAAAATGTTGTGTACCTGGATGCCTGGAAACCGGTGGTAAGTAAATACAGCATTATATCTGCTACTTGGCACTTACGATGGACTTGAGTCTGGAAAAACAATCGTTAAAAGTAAATATAACCATTGTCTCTTTCTATTTTATTGCTTTAGAATGTAATTATGTAAATCTTCAGCCGAAAGGTGAAACAATATTGTTCTATACAACTCATAGTGTTTAACCTATAAAACTGAAAAAAATAATTTCTCGAAAACTATAAATTTCCGCAGAAAGTCGTACGGGGTGTTACTTCAATGGCCTTACTACTTACTTATTAAAATTATAAAGAAAATCTTACAAGTATTTACTGAGATATCTTGAAACAACTCATCTTTTGTTTCAGAAACACTTCATGCTTTCCCAAACCCATTAAAGGATCTTGAGCGCTTTAAAGCCTGGTATACATTGATTGGTGGACCAAATTTGCTTGGTTACAAATGATCATATTTACAAGTATCGACGTGTGTGCCATGCACATTTTGAGAAAGGGTTTTGTTGTCGATACAATAGAATATCAAAAATTGCAATTCCCACCTTAAAAATGCCAGGTAAGCAATTCTTTTATTTTGATGTAAGAAGGTACTGATACTTAAAGTTAGTAGGTACCTCAGACGTGTGGTAGGTACTAATTACCTCAAGCAATTAATTTCAACACAAGGTTGTCTTGGCAATGAGTAGAGTAAAAATAGAAGTACCCTCAATTTCTCTCTTACAAAAGTTGGCAAATATGATCTATTGGCTAAGCTCATGTACTAGATATTATTGCGTTAGGCCTAAAATTTTGAACATTATTCTAATATTTAGTTTCAGACCCAAAACTATATTCAAGGAGTTGTTCAATACAACAATCCATCGAAAGTTCCTTTCGAAGTGCACTATCTACCTCAAAAGGTAATATTTTTATTTTATTTTATTTAAAATGATAGATATTAGTGATGTAAGAAATGTCCAATTTCCTACATTCGTGAATGCGAAAATCGGATTTGGAAACGAAAATTTGGAAGGAATTTGGAAGCGAAACATTATGGACACCTTAAGAAATTCCTGCCTTAACGTCTCAATACAATAACGGATCTTTATGCGGTTTTTTTACTAGATAGAGTGATTCAAGAGGATGGTTCATATGTGTAATACATTGCACCCGTGCGAAGCCGGGACCGGTTGCTAGTTTTTTATAATAGTATATTTTATCAACATGTGGATCTTAACTTGAAATTTTTATACTGTTTCCTTGAGCATGACTGTATTTCAATATAATTAATAATTATAATTTTAAAGCTCTCATTAGTTTGATGAACTTTTTAAATGTTTGATGAGATCATAGTATGCATGCAAACAAGTGCTGGTATAAAATAGTATTACACAATTTTTCAGATTTGGCCTTACAATCAATACCTACTGGTTCAAATAGACAACCAATGCAATCAATAGAAAATGTATTGCAAAATGTATCTTCAACCATAAAATGTAAGTTTATTATGTATAATTCTTCCTCTTGTTCATACTTTCAGGATAGATTTGTTTCTTTAGTTTTCTTTATTACATAGCCAAAGGACTCATTTAACTTCACCTTAGCCTTAAACAGGAATCGATAACAGGGTCTCTGGTTGTGGATTACCAGGATTTTGAAAACTTGTTGTACACACCACCCACAGTCATGTACTAGATATTATCGCGTTAGGCCTAAAATTTTGACCATTATTCTAATATTTAGTTTCAGACCCAAAACTACATTCAAGGAGTTGTTCAGTACAACAATCCATCGAAAGTTCCTTTAGAAGTGCACCATCTACCTCAAAAGGTAATATTTTAATTTAATTTAAAATGCGACATTCGTGAATACGATAATCGGATTTATAAATTTATATTATAAATATGGCACCAAAAGTATGTAATGTGCATTAATTTAGATACAATTAAATCAAATTTAATTTTCTGTAATGTCAAAATACTATCTATATATAAATATATATATATGTATATATATATATATATATATATATATATATATATGTATATATATATATATATATATATGTATTGGTTAATTCGAGGGTACAATGATTGTAATATTGAGCAAAGGTAGTTTGATTACATGAGTTTGTTTGCAACCTTGTCTGTGCAAAACTATTGTATCAGTACAGATTTTATCTTATATGTTTTCATTTTACAATGTATAAACATACGTGTAAAAACAAGTAATTAATAATTTCTTTTATAGAATGTACGAGGACGAAAAGAAGAATATATAAAGCCACAACTTTAGAAGACAAGATCCTTCGTAAAACTGTTGCTGCGGCAAGAATAAAGTTGAGCAAATATAAAAATATTATTGAAAAACAAGCTGCATCAATTAAAGCTACAAAAAATATATTAACAAACCAAAAAGTTCTTAAAGCCCTGGACAACCTGCCAAATTCCGGTAAAATACAATGTTGCAGTTTCGTGAAAACAAAAAGAAGAACAAAGGAAGAAGATTTACATACAGTGAAAAAATTATTGCCTTGTCCTTATTAAAAAGAAGTCCGAAAGGGTACCGCCTATTTAGAAATATGTTTATACTTCCGGCCCCTCTCAACCTTGATTAAACTAATTAACAACGCAAATATTCAACCTGGAGTAAACCCCATCATATTTTCTCAATTAAAACAGCAAGTAATGAAAATGAAGGCGAGGGAAAAATTATGTATTCTGTTATTTGACGAAATGGCTTTGAAAGCAAATTTAACATACAATGAAAGAACGGATAAAGTTATTGGGTTCGTAAATAATGGTTTCGAAGCACATGAACAGTTTGCAGATCATGCACAAGTTTTTATGGTAAGAGGCTTATTAAAAAATTACAAGCAGCCAGTCGGGTATACATTTTCAGCGTCAGCCACAAAGGGGCCGGAATTAGCTAAACTAATCAAGATATTTATCCGGGAGTTAACAAAGGTTGGATTAACTGTTGTTGCAACAGTTTGTGATCAAGGCTCAGGAAATAGAAACGCCATTAAGTGCTTGACGGAAGAATCGCGAGTTGACTTTCTCAGAAGAGGAGAGGAGCCCAAGCAAGGTTTAATTTTCATAGACAATTTAAAAATTGTGCCCATTTTTGATCCACCCCATCTAATTAAATGTGTGCGAAATAATTTAATTACCAAAGATTTAAAATACACAGCTAATAATACCACAAAAATAGCAAAGTGGCAACACCTGGAGCTCTTATATAAAGAAAATCCAGCCTATCAAGGGATCAGGCTTATGCCCAAACTTACAGAGAACCATATAAAGCCTTCACAAATAAATAAAATGAAAGTAAAATATGCGACTCAAATTTTTAGTCAAACTATAGCTGCAAATATGGGCTATTTATCAGGTAAAATTACGAGTGCTTAAAATGTATAAATATTATGTATTGTTGTAACCTTTTATGCCATATTTATATCCAATTATGTTATATTCTTTCAGATAAAGGTGTAATCCCGTCAGAGTGCAAGGAAACTGCTGATTTGTTATTATTCTTTGATAATATTTTTGATTCATTAAATGGGAGTTTCGAGAAAAAACATTTACATGCGAAGCCTGCACTTGGACCGGTAACCCCCAAATCGATACACCGAAAAATTTGGAGAAATGCAAGAAAGATTATAAAGACAATGAATTTTATAAACAAAGGAAAAATTGAAAATGTCCCTACCTTACAAAACTGGATATGGACACTAGATGGGATAGAAACACTTGTAAATGAACATGAAAAGAAGCATGGAGTGAGCTCAGTTTGGATGCGGCACCTAAATCAGGATCCTTTAGAAAATTTTTTTGGTTCCATTAGGAGTCATGGGTGCCGCAATACGAACCCCACTCCTGAAAGGTTTCAATCAGCATTTGCGACATTATTAATTAATAGCCTGTCTAGTGTCCATGCCCCCGGAAATAATTGTGAAAATGATTTTGCTACAGCATTACACGCCCTCGTGATCAATGAGGACTGCAAAGCCAGTAATGACATGGATGTTGATTTATTGGATTTCAATGAAATTAATGTGATATCAATCGAACAAAAAACATCTAATCCGGTTATCAGAGCGGGACTAGAATACTGCAGCGGTTATTTCGCGAAAAAAATTAAAGATAAGATATTTAAAAATTGCCAATTGTGCAAAATTTCTTTTATTAATGAAAGTGAATCAGAATATATAAAATATCGTGAATTCCAAAAAAAAATGGCTTTGCAGTCCATCAAAAGAATTATTGCTTGTTGTAAGTGAAATGCAGGACATTATTTATGAGGTTTTAATGAAAAAAATATCATCTCCAATGATTAAAGAATTAATAAAAACAATAATATTGATGTATGTAGATTTTAATTTTATTAATTGTGATTTACATAAAGAAAAGAACATTGAATTTATTGTTAATTTTGTGAGTAGATTTTTCATTTACAACTATTGTAAAAACATTAATAAAATATTGTGTGGTAGACGAAAAATTTTAGGAGCTGGAAGTACAATAAATAACTATTTTTTTATTATTAAAATATTTTTACTCATAAATAAAACATATTATATTTTTATATTTGCTCAGCTTAATTACAAATAAAATAAAACCTTTGTACATATTTGTATTGCATATGTAACATAATTGCCGACATGATCTGATGAGGGAGCTAGAAATTATGACGGTAGCTGTGTTATACCTAGCTTAATTTGTTAGTTCTTGTTTATATAGATTTATTGAATTGTTCTTAATGAAACGTTTGATCAAACATATTTGCCGACATGATCTGATGATGGAGCTAGAAATGATGAGGGTGTGAACTTGTTGGATTGGTTATCATACGGGTTATCATAAAAAGAATATTTTTAAAAACAAGCTGTGTCCTCAGGCGCTGGGTTTGGTGGAAAAAATTTCATCCAAGCTAATCTAAGCATTAGGGTTAGGACCGAGGGGCTGGTAGCTTTTAGCTGAAAGCTTTGAATAGGTTTTAATTTAGGTTAAGTTTTGTTTTATTTTAAATAATTTTATGTTAATGTTTGTAAATAAATTATTAAACTTTATAAGTACCAAAATGTCATGTAGAGCTTGACGGGA